CGCTCACCTCCCTCCGTCGGCGTGGAAGACCACAGACTCCTTCCCGGTGCTGATGCAGCCGTTGATGTTTTCCAGCACGCCGGCGTTCACCATCTTGTACATCAGCAGGCGAGTGCGAGGGTCCACGGCTTGCTCCTGAGGAGAGAGGAGGAGGAGTCAGAGAGCTTCACCTTCAGCATCCTGCAGCGGGCGGAGGGCGTTTCCGTACGTACGGCGGTGGAGTGCTCCTTCTTCTCGTGCAGCCTGGCGCTGCGTCTCTGCTCGCTGTAGCAGTGCCGCTTCAGGGAGTTGAACACCTGATTGGACAGCTTCAGGTCCATCCCCAGACCGTCACCGACGTGGACCTCCGGGGCGAACTGGACGAGGGAGAAGAGCACGCAATGAAAATGGCGGTCTGTTCTCTTTCAGGTGTTTGTTTTTCAGAAAACGATCTACAGATCAGATACTTGAGCGAAGCGTGCTCGGCCGTCTTACGTTGTCCATGCGCGCCGTGTTCTTGCGGCCGCAGGTGACTTCGTCATGTTTGGTGGTGATGTTCTTCCCCTTCCCCGTGAAGCCTTTCCTCGGCGTGGTCTGAGGTTTGTCTGAAACGTCACACACAGAAAAGGATGTTGGTGAAGTTGAGACAGAGTGTAATGAAGCTCAGCGACTGACGAGTCAGGCCGCCGTTTCTGTTATTTTGCCCGCCCCTGCTGGCGTCCTGCTGGCGTCCTACCGGCTCTGTAGGGGTCGTGTCTCGTGTCCTGCCAGTCGACCTCGTCCTCGGAGCTGTCGCTGTCGTCGTACGGATGGACCATGCGGTAGTTCTCGAAGGAGATGGACACTAAAACAGAAACGTGTCACACTTTGAATTCAACTTTATTAACCGCCGTTTACAGACACGCCAACCGTGGCGCCTTCAGAGCTTCACGTAACCCCGAAGCTTTCCGAATCACCTTTGCTGTCCCCGTTGAACTTCTTCTCCTCGCGCCGCAGCTGGTCGTCGAACTCGCGGTCGAACTGCATCTGCAGCATCTGGGCGAGCATCAGGTCGCTGGCGGTGTCGTTGGCGTCGTCGGGCAGCAGCTCGGCTGCAGGACTGACAGACAGACGCGTTACCACCTGAAACCTTCGAAGCTCTCGGATTTACTGACGAGAGGAACATTTGACGTTAACAGGACGGAAACTTTTAGAAGCTTAAACTGGAACTCTTACTCAGAGAGCGCCGGGAAGACGGCGTTCTCCTCGTCCAGCTGCTTCGCCAGCTGTTCGCTCATCACCTCAGAGAGAGAGCAGGCTGGAGCCGCCGGGGCCGCCGAACCCCACGGGCTCTGACAATGACAACAAGTAGACACATGATTACTCCTCCTCACATGAGTAATCAGAGTACTTGGATCATGTTACTGAGGTTACGATGACCTCAGGTTTCTTTGATTTTCACAATAACAAACAAACAGTTTTAGACTAATTCACTGTTTATATTTAATGTCACATATGTTTAAATGTATATTTATTGTTTTTACAAACTTTGTTTTATACATTTTATTAATTTATTTATGTTTATGTGAGGTTTGATTTTTTGGCATCATATACATATATTATTTTATATTCACACTTCCCTTTTTGTGAAACGTGTGCAAACACGGGACTGTATGTTTCTCTCCTGATACCAGTTTCTATATTATTTTCTGGAATGTTTGTTATTAATTATTTGGTCAAAAAATAGTCCAAAAATCCCCCAAAATGTCCTGATTTACTCTACGGATGTTCCCCAAAACTCAGAATATCTTAATGACAAAACTATCTGAGTCTCTGAGAACTGTAAATATATTTTTCTCCTGACAAATTATCAGAAAGAAAAACAGAAGATAAGAAAATACTGGTAAAGTTAGTCAGAGCTTGTTTTACCCAATGAGCTGAAGTTTAAACTGGTCGAGATTTTAGTGTTTTTTAAATGTTCATTTTTCACAGATGTTTCTTATTTCAGTGAGTCTGCCTTCAGTGGAGCCTCCTGAGCTCGTGTTTGCTCTGCGTTATTATAAAGCTGCTCAGTAAACAGGTGAGTCTGGAGCTACAGGTGGGGCGTGACATCACTGACAGTGGGTGCGTCACCAGGCACAGAAAC